TGTGTGTGTGTGTGTGTGTGTGTGTGTGTGTGTGTGTGTGTGAGTGTGTGTGTGTGTGTGTGTGTGTGTGTGTGCGAATCCGAATATGCTATGCGTACGGAGATGGCGAAATTATATTGACAATTTAATTATCAAATGTCTTTATGGCATGGTCTATTTTCACAAGCGGCTGTTTTAAGCGTAACTGCGTTACCCGATAGGGTTAGGTTATACTATGGTTAGGTTATACTATACGCTATATATATATATTTCCATATATTCCTATATATATATATATTTCCATATATTCCATATATCCGGACCGATGACGACGGACAGCATTAATCTCGTTCTCTATCTTCCTTGTCTTTATCTATTTTTGATGGTATCAATGGGATCATAGACTAGTAACTTTTTTCTTGAACAGAAAATTTATATATTCATAATGTTCTTCTATTACGTAGCGTATATTCAATGGATCATTGGATGATTGAGAAATATCGGGAATTTTACCGCGAGATGGCGACAGTAACGTAATAAATATGGCAGCGCCCTCACTGAAAAGTTTATAGTCTATACACTCTGCGCATTTTAACAAACAAGGCTATCACAATGGGAGATCAAGAGCAAAAGGGACGTCAATTAATTCAAGAAGCCCAGAAGAAAATGAGTTCTCCTGCTGGGAGGCTGAGCTCATTCTTTGGGTAACCAGTTTCGGTTTAGAATTGTTTCAATGACAATGTTTACCTTCATACTAATAGTAATTACTACTACTGTACTAGTACTATAGTATTAGTATAGGGCCTATTACTATTAGGCCCCCCTACTCAGTGAGTATTAGTATTACTATCTGTTACTATTAGTATTGCTGATAGGGTCTATGTCCCCCAAGGTACTGCCGGAACGTACCCTGGGTACGGTCCGGTATACCGGAACGTACCCTGGTACCACAGGCCCTTGGAGGCTCAAGTTTCGAAAAAGTATAAGACTATATTAAGAGCGAAGCGTTGTGTCAATCAGCCAGATGTTTTTACGAATATACGGCGTAGCGAGAGATTGCAGCCCCCCTCCTCCTCGGCCAATCTGCCTGTGGCCACGGTGCGAGTTTTTACACGCAGCGCGAGAGCGAGAGCAAAACCGCCCGTGGGAGTGGGAGAAAGAGAGAGAGAGATAGGAGTTTTTGCGCAGCGGGCGGCATGCAACGGTGGCAGTTTTTACACGCAGCGCGGGAGCGAAAGAGAGAGAGAGCAAAACCGACCATGGCGAGTGGGAGCTAGAGAGAGAGAGAGAGAGAGAGAGAGCGCGCAGTGCAGCGCTTATCTGCAACACAGCAAGCGAGAGAGAGAGCCGCCAGCTAGCCAGCCAGCAAAAACAGCGGGGGTCAGTTGTGTAGTTGTCACAAAAACTGCGCAATGTTACGCTGCCCGCTATACAGATTCGTGCGCCCGCCCTCCTCTTCGGCACGCGAATCCGTATAGTGGGCAGCGCGAGATGCTACATACAACACCTCGCGGTTGCGTGCGCCGAGCTCCCACAGAAGTGCGTGGCTTATCCGCTCTCGGCAGTCGGGGAACAACGCATCTTTTGCGCAACGCCATCTTGTACCCGGTCTCTCTGGATGCTACTATTTGAGAGTGCTGCTTATTTACAGAGTTATACATGCATAGATGTATGGATAATTTACATACACATGAGTATCTACTTATGTTCATGCTATATGTTCTGCAGCCCTTTTCTCTGCGACTGGTTGTTACAAAGGACTAGCTATATAGGTAGAGCTATATGTTTGCCAGTTTGCGTTTTGAGACATAGTAGTTTCTTCTGCTTTATGTGACACTAGCTTGGGACACAGCACGAAATACTTTAAAAGGTTGCTCAAAAACACCAATCGATGTCAAACAATGGTAAAAATCTTCACTTGGATACAAAACTCAGGAGAAAACTTTAAACTATTATAATATATCAGGGTTCTCCAAGAGCACTTATAGCCTGGCGGCCCGCCAGGCTATCGTCGAGCCCCGCTATCCTAAAATGCACCCGCCACTCTAAATATCATAGCCGCCATGCTGGTGTATACACAAGAAGTTCAAACAATTAATACACGTTGTTTATACGCAGAGGCTACAGGTACGGCAGTCCCTCACACACAAGTACAAACAGTCACCCTATCCCTATCCATAACCCTAACCCTAACACTAAATCTAAACCGACTCGGCTATCTTATATTATACGCGTGTTATAGTACCCAATTTATCTATGTTGTATAACCTTTTGCTTTCAATATTTTGCATCTGAACTGACAATCAATCCCAACCAACTGGTGTAGGCTAGCGGGTACAATAATGTTCATTTTTATACTTCAAATCCGAGTGTTTTCTAGCTCATCAAGAAATCTTAATCGTGAATTAAATCGTGAATTAATTTCCAATGGCATTATTACAATTAAAAAAAGTTCTAAATCCGCAATATTAGCTACAGTAATTTTCTTGAAAATTAGCCAGTCCTGCTCCAAAAGTAGCCAGCCCTGCTGAAAAGTTACGAGTCAGGGACTATGGGAGCAGCTGCTATTTCCAACACTGGTATATGTCAGGTTTTCTGATTTATGAGAGGTGAACTCGATTTGGAACCAGCAAACCAGCAAGTTCACCCCTACATTTTAGTATTTTTATTCCATTATTATTTTGAATTTTCCGATAGCTTTGCCCATGCAAAACAAACATTTTCACCCCACATGCAGTGATTCAAATTTACACACAGAGTGTCCCAGATTGCATCTCAGAGCTTCTACAATTCAAAAATTTTTCCGGGGGGGCATGCCCCGCAGACCCCCCAGCACTGAGCAGCACCCCCATGCTATAATGAAAAAGCTTGGAGAACCCTGTATATATATATATATAATAATTATTATAGTTGTAAAACTATTAGCACTGGTTAGTGGTTAGTGGGTAACTTTTTAGTATACAACAGTGATAACAATTGACTGTAATTTATTATTTATAGAGGAGCAATGTCATCCAAGCTAGAAGAAGCTAGTGACCTTTATGTCAGAGCTGGAAACTGTTTCAAGGTAGCCAAAAAGTGGAGTTGTAAGTTATATCCATATTTATAAAAATAATATCTAGTCTAAATGCTTATCTTTAATGCAGTTAAAACCTTTCAGTAGATCTGTATTGTAATGCTGTGCATGTGCATGAGACTGTGAGGTTTTATCACAGTAATCAGACCAGTGCATTTTACCATCATGGTAGAAATGAATTACCTATCACAATTGCTCTGCTTGTGTTAGGATAAAATTGCTACGACAAGTGAGGTGAGATACACTTGCCTTAGCAAAAACAGGGATGAGAAGCATTTTGGTACATGCCACTCTTCAAGTGGAATTAGTGCAGATTAGCTATAATTATTACAGACTACATATATGGCAGAGACTTGTATATCATGACATTATTATTGTAAACAATGTGTTTGATTGGTTGATCTGCCATGTGTGATACCTTATTCTACACAATTGTTTTACACTGGCTTCCTATACTGTGAGGCTCTACCCAGGCCTTTAATGCATGTCGCATCGACATGCCTTCAAAGCTGAAGTTGATTTGCGGCATTCCATAAATCCGTCCACATGCCCTAATTGCCTAATCAACATGCCTGAATATCCAGCTATGTTTACTTTTGACAATCCCAAAACAGTCATGAAGTGTTTTCACAGCTTGATGTATATATGTCTTCTAACTGTTCCAGCTTCCTGTGTATTGGGGCTGCTTGTTATACACGTAATTCACTTTAATTTGTACAATCCTCTCCTGGGCCCTCCCAATCCATCCATAAACAACATTGCTTCTAAAAATTTTGGGCTAACCCGGAACTGTGTCTCATCTTTTATGTGGATAAATAAAGTATACTCTCTTCTTTTATGGTAAACCTTACTGTGACATAATGTAATCCATGAAATGTAAACTGTATCTATGCACACAGTAGAAATTAGGACAATAATTGTGTTTGATTTGAGGAAAATAGAAATAATCTGTTGAATTAGCTTGTGCAAACATAACGCTGAGTGATTGAGTTTGTATTTTTTGTGTTCTATAGTAGCCGGACAGGCTTTCTGTGATGCTGGTTTATGCCAGACAAAGATGGACACTTCTCACAATGCTGCACAGCACTATGTAGATGCCGGAAAGTGCTTTTGCAAATGTGATTGTCCAGGTGAGTCTGTATTCCACAAAATGTTTTTTTTTGTAATACGAGGGAATTTTTTAATCCCATTGGGATTACAAAGTGGCTTTCGGATTTTATGGGTTTGTGTTCTATACCAACTTTTATGTTATTGATTGTGAGTAAAATTGTAGACCACAAAATGCCGAAAATTACACTTACTCTTTTGCATTTTTCAGAAGCGATAAGGTGTTACACAAAAGCAGTAGATTTGCTGACATCTAAAGTAAGCAAGGCTGTAATAGTCTGTAGCTGTAGCTCTGTTAGGGCTAATACTTTGTAAGTACAGTACTATAGCAGCAAGCATATAGTCCAGGAATTTTCAGAATGTCACTATACCTCGATAAAATAATTTTTAACTGCCATGAATTGGCTAGGTTTTTGCTGGTAACATAAACTGGTACAAAAAGTGAAAAACTGCTGACCTAATTTATGTAATCAATTTTTGTGTACAAGAAATAAACAAGTATTATTTTAATTACAATGACTCACACATGATTTTTAATAAATGTTATCACAATAGGATTTATATATATTTTTTAAACAAAAATGTTACAATTAAATATACACTAATTTTCACTAATTTTCACATAATATTATAGAAATATTTCACTTGCCCTTATTTGTGGCCACTGATAATTTGGCAGGTTGTATTCATGTAATTGTGTGAGTATCTATTATGCATTTAACTTGTGTGACTACTCTGTAAGACTTCACTGTGGATTCTCTCTAGGGCCGGTTTTCAATGGCTGCCAAACATCACATCACAATGGCTGAACTATACGAGACTAATATCTTAGATGTAGATAAGGTAAGGGGAAACAGGATAACAAGCTTCTGGTGAAGCCCTAAGCTGAGTAGTTGACTGTTAAAACCTCTCACTGTTTATAGACAGCCTAGAAGAGAAACCTATTTGCTTAGAAGATAGAAACCAGGCTCCAGATTATCTCTCTCTCCCTCTTTCTCTCTCTTCCTCTCGCCCTCCCTCCTTCTCTCTGTCTCCCTCCCTATCTCCTTCTCTCCCTTCCTCTCGCCCTCCCTCCTTCTCTCCGTCTCCCTCCCTCCCTCCCTCCCTATCTCCCTCTCTCCCTCCCTTTCGCCCTCCTTCCATCTCTCCCTTTCTGCCTCCCTCCCTCTCCCCCTCCCTCCCTCTCTCCATCGCCCTCTCTCCCTCCTTCCCTATCTCCCTCCTTCTTGCCCTCCCTCCATCTCTCCCTCTCTGCCTCCCTCCCTCTCCCCTTCTCTCCCTGCCTCCCTCACTCCCTTCTTCCCTCCCTAGAAGACTAATGCAGAGCTTGTGATCTACAGGCTGTGGAGCATTATCAGATAGCAGGTGACTACTATGATGCAGAACAGTCAACAGCCTCTGCTAACAAATGCTACCTGAAAGTGGCACAAAACTCGGCAAAAATGGAGCATTACGAGCGAGCTATAGAAATATATGAAAAGGTAAGCACCAGGTGGTTTGGTGTAATGTGCTGCCATCTTTCGTCGGTGAGTCGGGCGACATCACTACTTTATACTATTTATTATGTCATGAATGTTAGTCAGTCTTGTTATACAGTTTTTAATCAGCACACGTGTGTTGAAGACCAAATTCGACACGTTTTCATAGATTAACATTATTTTTTGGGAGCTTGAAAAGATGTACTAGTCCTCATTTATATTTGGTCAGATTGGGACTGCATCTATAGACTCCACACTGCTCAAGTGGGGAGCCAAGGAACATTTCTTCCGGGCAGCTCTATGTCACATGTGTGTTGACGTTCTCAATGGTCAGGTAAGAGACATATACAAGTACAAGCAATGTTCTGCGCATGATCGTAGCAAAACCTCTTCATTCCTGTCACATGATAAGCCTGAGAGTCATGTTCCCTTCTGTGATTTTTGCAATGAACACTCCCTATAAAAGTGTTTATCCAACAATAGAATCCTAAAAATTCACTATGTGCCGCTAGAAAATTGGCCCTTTGTTATGTAAAATTTTGCAGTTTGCATTTCTGTCGGTAATTGTTAGCTCATCTGAGCTCCATCAGGTGCAATCACTCATTAAAATGGTGTTCGTACGTAGGTGCATGATGTACAAGCCATGTTACTCTGCGCATTAGTTTACTCTAAAATGGGTCTGTGTGGAGTAGTACTGAAAAAAAGTTTATGAAATACATGGTGATATATATGACAACGTGGAACAGTGAAATTTTCTCCTATTTAAAATTCCATTATTGAAATAATCTTTGCTGGAAATAATCTACACCAGGTATCGTTTACATTTGTTCGTCAGCATGCGCTGAACAGGTACGAGGAGATGTTTCCTGCCTTCATAGATTCAAGGGAATGCACATTTCTAAAGGTAACATAGTTATGAAAACAGTTTTTCCTACTTATTTCTTAAGCACTTGTGTGATGCCATGCGAATCTCATTGCTTTCAGCTGTTAAATGTCCACAGATAAGTTTGCAGTTGATTGTCTCTACTGGAAGTATCACTAAGAGATGTTGTGTCATTGTTGCAGTGTCAAATATGGAATAATGCCCTAACCAGTGTCTCTTAAGCTTGGGACACACTAGGCGATTTTTCAGGCGATTGAGTCGGGTGACTGAGTCGGGCGACTGAGTCGGGCGACTGATTAGGGCGACTGAGTCGGGCGACTGAGTGGATACAATAGGCGATTTTCAGCTCGATTCATCGGCGATTTTTCGGCGTCACATGATTGAAAATGGCACCGTTTGATTGGCTGATGAATTGTACATTCTGGCAACTCATTCGCCGACCCGGACACACTAGGCGATTGTAGTCGCGCGACTCAAATAATCACCCGATTGAGTCGCCCGACTCAAAAATTGCCATCGACTCACTGGACACACTAGGCGATTTTCACCGGCGATTGAGTCAGGCGACTCAATCGCCGGTGAAAGTCGCTTAGTGTGTTCGGGGCTATAATCTGCAGAAAGCATAGGAAACATCACTCACGTTGAGCTCTTAATTGTTTGTTTTATATTGTATTGCTTAAAAACGAAAGCGAGAACTGGGAACTGACGAACTGAAAACGATGAAACTGTTTGTCTTGCAGAAGCTGCTTATCGCTCTGGAGGAGGAAAGCGTCGAGGACTTCACAGAGATAGTGAGGGCACATGATAAGATCTCGCGGCTTGATCCGTGGTTCACAACGATGTTGCTGCGTATAAAACGCTCTATCAGTGAGGAGCCGGATCTACGATAGAATGCAGTTTGCAGACATCGCAACCTCTGATAGATCACAGGCGATGCGCCGATGGAGAGGGGGAGAAACATGCTGTGTTCAAAAACGGTTTTAATTGGTTGGATTCCTTCGGAGTTTGCACATTTACACATACATGAATGGCCTATTGTTTTTCGTTGTTTCTGCTGTGATTATCTGTCTATACAATAATGAGTATTATAGGTACAGGATATATGGGAGAAAAGGGTGGATGAAAAAATTGCAATTTATTTTGTTGGGGATTTGTTGCCAATAGAGTCGTGTGGTAGATGTGTCAGATGTATATACGTATTAATACTTGTGAAGCATATAGCTTTTGTGTATGTACATAACTCCTTGTAACTGAGCTAAAGTAATTGTGTAATATGAACAGTAGAAGAATTATTATGAGCTGATCACTGTGGTTCATTATCTAATGTAGCTGCACTCCCTAGCGAACTTGACCGCGGCCAATCCGTGGATAGGCTTTTGCGCGTTGGTAGTAGAATTTCTCTTATTTGTTCAACATGTCTCTTCCACAATCTACCTTCCTGTGTTTTATCAGAATAGGAAAGGGGACCAAGCGATCCAACAATTTTGCCAGTAACCCATTTGTCGCTTCCTCTGTAATCTCTGACTAACACTGTTTTACCAATTCCGAATTCTGTAATCCACTTTGTGTCGTTTGCCTTTCGGACACTTTTCGCTTTATATCAGGTTTAATCAAGGCAAGTCGCGTTCTCAGGTTTCGCTTCAGGGGTAACTGTTCAGGACTAACTCCTGTCGTTGCATGAGGTGCGTTCTTGTAGTACATCATGAAATTGTCCAATTTCAGTTACTTGTCATCCTTATAAAACTTGGCAGTTTTCAGCCCGTTCTTGAACGATTGCACAAATCGCTCAGCGAAGCCATTAGTGGCGGGATGATAAGGTGCAGAATTAACATGTGTTACTCCTTCTGACCATTCCCATGAGTGTAGTGGTGCTTTAGGTGCTTCCTTTTGCACCAGTTGACATCCTGGGCATGACTTCGCTATCGCTTCATCCTGCTAGTCCATTCTAGGCCACCAGAAGTATCCGCGTGCAACTGACTTCATTTGCACTACACCGAGATGTTCCTTGTAGCTTTGGGGGTATCACAACTTGATTTCCCGACAAAACACAATCTTCAACCAGAAACAATTCATTGCGTCGTCTGTAATCCGCTTCAAATTCAGGCTCCCGTTTGCTAGGCCAGCCATATCGTACATACATAACAACATGCGATAGTGTCCGGTCACATCGTGTTTGTTCCTTAATTTGTTTTGATAGATACAGGCAGTACAGCGAAACAGTCAGTGTGGAACAGCTTCCAGTCGTCTGGTTTCTCAGATTTACTCACTTTGCATGGCAAAGGTAATCGCGACAGTGCGTCCGCGTTAGCTTGATCCACGCTTTGTCGATATTGTATCTCGTAGTCAAATCCCCTCAAATATATCACTTGTCACGTCAATCTCGCAGCCGCTGTAGTTGGAATTTTTTTCGACGGGTTGAACAACCGCGTAAGTGGTCGATTGCCCGTTAGCAGCGTAAATTTTCTTCCTATCAGGTATGAAAATTTCTGAACACCTTAGACAATTCCAAGCGCTTCGTTGTCTATTTGTGCATAGTTCTTTTCCGCTATGGACAAACTGCGAGATGCGAACGAATGCGACAGGTCTCTCTTCTCCTCCCATAACGTGCGATAATACAGCACCTATACCGTAGCTAGTTTTATCGGTAATTTTGGATTGTAGTGTGCCAACACTTGCTCTTCCGCAATCCTTAACTTGGCCCTTTTGAAAGCGTCCTGGCACTCCTTTGTCCATTATCAAGTCTTTTCCCTTTGTAGCAACTGATTGAGGGGGTAAATTGCTGACGAGAGGCAGGAATCTATGATAATAGTTCAACAAACCAAAGAACGAACGAAGTGTCTGGACATCCGTCGGTGCAGGTGCGTTTACTAACGCGTCCACCTTATCCTGTGACTTACGCAAACCGTCCCTGTCGATGATGTGACCCATAAATGCCACACTAGGCTGCAAGAATTTACATTTCTTTGCGTTCAGCACTAGCCCGTGTTCGCTAAGCCGTGTGAAGACTCTCTAATCTTGTCAAGTGCTCCCCATCGTTTCAGTCATGAATATGTCATCCTAGATGAATTCGACTCCAGGAATTCCTTGTAGAACCTGTTCCATTAGCCGTTGTCACATTCCAGTCGTGGGTTTGGCCCCGTATTGGAGCCTGCTCACTCGGTACAGACCCTTGTGCGTGTTTATGATGGCAAGTCCTTTGACTTATCGTCCATTTCCAAATGCAGATGCGCATTTTTCAGATCGAAATTGGTAAACTTCTCGCCGCCAGCTAACTTTGCGAAAACATCCTCAATCCTGGGCATTGGGTGTTTGTCTGGGCGCAGCACTGGGTTTAAGGTTACACTGTAGTCTCCGCATAATCTTACATATTTATCAGCCTTAATAATTGGCACAACAGGCGTGGCCCAATCACTGATAATGTTTATTTTTCCCAGCTTTTCCAACTCCAATTCCACCACGGGGCGAATGGAGTAAGGCACACGTGTTCCTTGCCTTGCAGAATTTCGGAGTCGCGTTCTCCTCCAGGTGTAGTCGCCCTACATTCCCCTTTAAATGTCCAACCTTGTCGGAGAACAATTCCGGGAACTTTTCGATCAGATTGTTAACACGCCCTTGCCTCGTTTCGTCTGTGCGTGACGTCACGTTCGTAGTCGCGTATACTTCCATGCCGAATATCTCGTTCCACAGTAGTTTGATCTTTCCCAGCCACGATATACCGAATAAGAGAGGCCCTCCCTTTTCTACAACGTATATTTCGTGGTTCACCTCATGAACATTGTAGGTAATGTGCACCTTGTATGAACCGAGACACTTAATTCTCTCTCCTGAATACGTTGCGAAATCGTCCTTAGCGTCGCCTAGCTTCGCGTTATTGAAATACTTCATGGAATCTTGTTGGTTCATGATGTTGTATGAAGCCTCCGTGTCCTGTTCCATTGGAACCTTAACGTCATTTAGATTGTGATCAACGTCATTTGCCTTGTTGATGAATTTACCTTATTTACTCGCATGTGCTGAATGCCGCTGTATTGTAAATCATCAGATTCATCTGACTGTTGGTCAACATTGTGAACCGTTCGCTGTTGTTGTTTTCTGCGATCGGTTTATTGGGTTTTCTTCGCCCTGCTGTTTTTCTTTTTGAAACAAGCTTTCTCAATGTTGGCCTCAACTGAACAAAAGTTACATTTCGTTTTTGCGGAACCTACATTTATCTAATGCGTGCCCTGAGCCATCGCACCGGTAACGATGTGTGTTGTTAGTTGACTTCTAAAATCTATGTGTGTGTGCAGCGCTCTTTTTTTTAACGTAATCTACATGTGCGTACATCTAATATATTCTATTATTATTCATTCCTCATACCCCGTCAGTAGTTATATCCCGCGAAAAACGGTTAAGTTACTATTATAGACGTTCAAATTAAAAACAATTAGATTGCACTCGTTTTTTTGCATTCATGCATGATTGACATTCTAGTTCATCTTTTAGCTGAAAGATTTCCCGTAAAAACGCATTACTTGCCTAACGCGGGTCATGACTGTTCCAGAAAGGCGGAACCTAGCGTGAGAACGTTTAAAAAGTTATGAAAATAGACATAGACAAAACAGCGTGCATTGGCAATATAATGTTAAATATGTATCAGAATTTGCGAATTTTGAAAATGTTTTGTTTGTTGCAGTCTGTAAAAAAAAGATGCATCACGATAATCGTATGGTGTTTTTTTCAAGTTATTGTCAGAACCCTTGTACGATTGTCACGACTGCAATAAAATAATTTATTGAAGATAGTGTATTTGTAGTGATACATTGTTCAGGCATAATAGGGATATAAGTGAAAATGTGTGGAAATCATGTTTAATCAGAAATGTGAGTATTGCGCTAGTGTGCTTGGTTAATGGATGAATATTTCGAGACAGATTAATGCCTAGTCTGGGTTAGCTATGCATTGAGCCTGTAGGTGGCAGCACGGTATTTTGACGATACATTCCACAGACTCGCAGTGTGCGTTGTTTGTAACACTTTCCGCTCCTGCTGGTTCGGGCACGTTTCAGCGAATATCGTTGACAGTAATTGTAAATGTTTTCTATCCATGTAATTCTTGGGGTAATATTGTTTTCGCCTTACATTCTGTGGGCAAGGTTCTCCTGCTGCCAACTGCAATAAGATTAGAAGACGATTGTAAGGAAATCTGCTAAAAAGGCCACTGTCGGGACTGTTCTCGAGGATTTATGATTAATTTCGCAACTGATATTCTAGATTCCGATTCAATACGAGAGCGACAGTTTGATAAAATTGGTCACGTTCACCCGCGACTGTAATATCGCGATAGTGCACGCGTAATTAATTAACATTTATTATGAAGAAAGGCCAGAATCACTTTGACAGTGAAAACAAGGTTGATATCTCGCGTACAACTGTTTACAGATATGTCTATGCCATGAGAAAAAAACTTGTCGCGACAATCCAAATGACCAGATTTCACGTTAGTAAATATGTGAGTATTTATTAGGGCATTTGCAGTATCAACGATAAACGTTAACAAGTATGATCGTCATTTTATCAGAAATTCCCAAAACAAATGATGTTAACTTTGCTGTTGCAAATCATACTGAATCATATTGCAAGGCGTGAAGTTGTGAATTCTATATTTATTACTAGTTAATATGTCATCCACGTTGGGCGGGATAGCTTTTTTCGTTTTCACAGGAGGATTCTATGATGCTCTAACCATCCTTGACCTGCGCTATATTTTTCCTGGGGTGGCCATGAGTTATTCTTGGCAAGACCAACTTGAACGTAGCTACTCTATACAGCTAATTTCAAGTGGGGTGCGACCCTGGATACTCGTTTGCGAGTGAGCTTGCTATTGTTTGAATTGGGAGGCAAAATTGGATTTTTTCCTCTATCTCTCGCTCTCTCTTACTTGCTCGCTTCCCCATTCTTTCTCACGCTCGACTTTTCTGCCCTCCGTTTCTCCCTATATCCCCCCCCCCCTATATCCAACGTTTCCATCCTTTTTTCCGTTCTTTTTCTCGTTTATGTAATTTGTCCGGCTTCTTTTAATTTTTCTTTCATCAAATCATCTATCATCTCAGTATTTGCAAGAGTAGATAATAACAGTGTTATTATCTACTCTTAAAGAAAGTGTTATTATCTACTCTTGGTATTTGCTAGAATACTGATGACGTATGACTTGATTGTGATGTCAAGAATAAAGTTTGTTCTCTGCAGCTGTCCATTAAATAATTTGGCCAATTTATTGTTGGCCTTGACGGATGATCCCAGCTTTCTAGCTATAGCCTGGCTTTAAACTAACCATTCTGCTATGTTACCGCCCCTGTGGCCTGTGCTGCCGCCAGCCTAGCATATGCACTGAGTGTTTGACTCGGCTTGCTCTAAAAACATTTAAGGCAACCTATTTTTTCCTGCTTCGTTAACAGTTGTTTTGTAATATTATGTAGCTGTTTTGTTTGTTGTTCCTATCGCCCATCATCGTCAACATCGAGAGCCGATAAACACCGACGTTGAGCTGAAGCAACATGCCAGGTCAAAAATTATCAATTTATTAGAGTAACATCCCGGATGGATTGGCAGCACCAGTGCGCGGTGCGTGGGTGCGTGCGAGTGTCTGCGGGCGTCTTAGCATCGACACGAACATGTTTAAACAAAAACTGTATTTTAAACTTACGACTAGTTATTAAATGCGTGGTAAATTCATATTTAGAGCAAATTGCGATTTCTGTTGCTATGAAATATTTACGTAGGCCGGTGAATGGCCTATGGCATTTTTGAGCGCAAAGCAATGTACAAACGAGTAGGCACGCATTCACGCACGCACTCACACGCGCGGACTGACGCATGTAAGTGCGTTCGAACCAATTTCCGCAAGCATACATGGATATACACCCGTGCAGCGCCAGCACAGAATTTTACACAACTATACGTACTACGCGCTCAGGTACGCGCACGCACGCACAGACGCACGCACACACGTGTGTGAACAATCACGACAGACAAACAACCGTACACCAGATTACAATACAATACAATGTAATGCAACGCAATATAATTCAAGTAATTGCGATGAAATGAAATACACCACAGCGCAATGTAATAAAATTAAAAAATGCAATTAATGCAATGAAATAAAATGTCAAGTAACACAACGCATCGCAACGCAATGCTGTATGAATTGATCCACACACATATATGTCCGAAGAGGTTAATCAACTAAGTTATGCTCAAGGATTTGTACTGAAAATATAAATTATTACATTGGTAATTAGGTAGAATGAAATATGTAATAAATTATTCATTAATAACCTTTATTTTTGGAACACGTGAATGTATAATCTAAGCCATGTTAGTGTATATGAAAGCGAAGCATAGTTGTAATCCCAAACAATGTTATTAAAACGTTCGCTCCTTTTAGATATTGTAGCTTGTAAGCTAATTGTATTTTTAATATCTGATATTAAAAATAATCTCCCGTAAGAAAAACTTGCATTATATTAATACAAATTATGCATTATTATTAATACTCAGCCATACTGGTGTGAGACTGTAAGTCAAGAGACATGGCAACGCGCCAGGTAAAACATTGCGCTAGCTGAAGCTAGTTGCACGAACGCTTGTCTAACGTGTGCTGGTGGTCTTAGCGCGATGTTTTGTTGTTGCCTACTTAATCATGATTATGCTGAGCGCCGTCTGCACGCGGTGTGATGGATGAAGCCATTTACTAATTATAATTAGCTATGTTATTCCTTATAACGGTTTTCATTGGTACTTTAATTATTGAATTATTATTGAAATATTATTGAAGATTAGTTGCTTTCCACGGAGTAAAGATGCTGGTAACGTTATAGGTTTCGTTCGCTACAGACGTGTATGTGTATTCCTGTACGGCGAATGCTTGGCGAGCCGAAACCGTGAAGGCTGGCAGCGTGCCGACTGGCTCGTATGTTGCCCCTGACGGCTCTCCTCCATTTCTAAGTTCCTAATTCTCCCGTCGTCCTGCGAGAGCGTAAAGCGGCAGCTGACGGCACAAAAGTGGCGGGCTCAGTGACTACCAGTTTTTCCGTAGATATCGTCAGAAATTGTGAGTACTCAGTCTGTAGTAGCTAGCGCATGTTATTAGTGGATGTTCCCTGATGGGAAATAAAAAAAAATACGTTAGCTAGACGGCGGAAGTTGCGTACATGCGGTTTAACGTGTAAGGTTGTCTGCTTTCGCTGATTGTGACCGCTCGTTTTTCTTTGCCGCTCGTCGTATAACGTGGTTATCGCCGCCTCGGTTTGCATTGCGTGTTTGCGTACCGATTCCATCGGACGCACAGTAAGTACTATATTGTATCGTTAGGTAAACTAGGCCTTGGCGACACGCTTTCACGAAGAAATCGGGTTCAGTTAAAAGACCATCTTCATGTTTTACACGTAGACGCGCAGGTTTTAGAAACAAATGAAGCTGTGTGCGGTACATGGTTACCTCTTTCGAGGTTAAAGAGCTACATAATACGCGTCCGTATGGGTTCATTATTTCGATTTCGTTCAAATCAAGCGCAATCTGTCGCCCGCCCCTCATTTCAAAGGCAATGAAGCAATTAAAGATGATCATAGCCAGATGTGATTTGAATCGTGAAATACACGGATCGTCTGTCAAGCAGTGTGAAAGATCCTGTAATCTATATACATTTGCCGAGTCAGTATGTTTCATTGGGCTTAGATACTCTGGAATATCAGAGCGGGTTAGGAAAGAGGAAGATTATTGGGGATTTTAATTATTTAGAAGCGGATTTTTTTGCATGCAACCTAGAAAGGTATGCCTCATAATTTTTTCGTTTAATTGAATTATTGTATAATAACGACACTAACAATTTGCGGGGACGGTTAATGAATGCATTTTCTTCAGAATGAACGAAAATGACACATTACGAGCAAATCTACTTAATTATTCACTGTCTATAAGAAGGGGGCAATTTCAGTGCCCCTGGTAAAAAATATGCTATTTCCCAGTTCCCAAATAATAAATATCGCAATTCCCATTTTCATTTCCGAATCCCCAAAAAATATTTGGTATTTACCGGTTCACAGATAATTAAAATGGCACAATCTTCCTCTTTTATGGCATAACACTGTTGTTATTCATCACGCAAACATTTTTCATTAGACTATAGTGCACCTCAAATTTATCCCCCAACAAAATATCAAACCACCGTTTAATTATTACAGGCGCGGTGCAACACAACAACTTTTTGTGTGATCCATGTTTAAAAAAACGCATAACAGAGACTAAAATATTACGTCAAGGTTACAATTGTATGCTCATCTTAAAAATGCTGCCTCGTTACTTAGCTGCTTGCCATATCATGTTATCATGCCTTTATTTCTAATGATAATCCGTAGTTTTTAGCTTCTCCTGTTTTCATCACTCCCAACGTAAATGTAGGCAATTAGTACAAAAGCGGCCTACATATGCAAACAGAGCAACAATTCGTTGCGCCCTACTCTGACCACAATGATCATACCCGGTTACGTAATGTCCAGTAACGTGATCTCAAGTGGCATTATGTCCGGACGCATCATGCCGGTAGGGATTACGTCGCAGCACAGTCTTGCTGTGCATAGCTGATAGTGAGCAGCTGCCGTGAGCGCCTGCATGCATGTGTACGTGTGTGCGCGCGTGCGTGCGTGAGTGAGTACGTGTATGCGTAATTGAGTGCGTGCATGCGTGCGTGCGCGCGTGTGTGTATCTGCGTGCATGTGTTCGTGCGTGTGTCTGCGGGCG